CCCTAAACCCTAAACCCTAGACTGATGCAAATGCCCACATGAAGCAACCTGGAGGCTGGAGGCATTCATTTTCTTCTTGGCCTTAATTCCGCACCTTGGCTGACGCAGTATCGAGTCTCTATGAGGGGGTAGCTTTCTAAGTCAGGGTCCCTTTTAGGGTCCTTTTTATCAGGGTGCCGCACTGTATTCGCACCCTAAACCCTAAACCCTAAACCCTAAACCCTAAACCTAATTTAGAGAAGTACCCATGAGGGCTTGAAGGTCAGAGTGTCGGGGTTGGTGGATCAGAGTTTGATGGCTCAGCTAAACTTAGTGGGCCTGGTTTTGGTATATATATATATATATAGGGGCCTTAAATAATTCGAACAGGGTTTTGGGGGTAAAGGATGCTATAGTTATACTGAGGAACCCCCCAAAATAGTATGGGATGTTGGGGCTCATGGTTTGGGTTGGCACAGGGTTCGGAACTAGACATTTTTTTTGTAAGGTTCGGGGGGCAGCTTGAAGAACAAAGACCTGCAGCCATGGTCGAGCCACTGAGGCTGGGTTTAGGGTTTAGGGTTTAGGGAGGCTGGGTTTAGGGTTTAGGGTTTAGGGAGGCTGGGTTTAGGGTTTGGGGTTTAGGGTTTGGGGTTGTTTGCTGCAAGCTTTCCGGCGTTCTGGCCCTTGCGGAAGTAGAAGCTCGTGACTCATGATGTGCAGATTTTGGTGAATCTTTGAACCCTGCAATGTGGAGGCCTCAAAAGGTAGGATGAATGTAGGTAGGATTAAAGATCCCTTATATAAGGACTCTTATTTTGGGATTACCCCACCTACCTTCATCCTCGTCGGAGCGCGGAAGGGCTGGGGCTTCGCTTCATGAGAGGTCAGGGGCCGTGCGGCTGTACACTCAGGCGCTGCCCGACGCTGCGATTGCGATCCATGCGGTTTCGGTGTGTCCGGAATGCTTCGCCCTGCAAGCATCGGGTTTCGGGCTTGGGGGGTTTGGGGATGAGGAGATACGTAGAACTCTTAAAGTACTCTTGCAGAAATTCGAAAGAGAACCCCCGCGCAGATCCGTCTAAAGGAACCCTAAACCCTAAAAGGCCCTAAACCCTAAACCCTAAACCCTAAACCCTAAACCCTAAACCCTAAACCCTAAAAGAACACCCCCAAGTCTCCAAGGTACAAGCCGACAGAGCTGAAAAAATGGCAAGGTCTCGCTCAGCACAGGCGCCTTGCTTGCACGTCCTTGGCGCTTAATCCAGGTTTAGAGCTTTTGGTCTGAGGTCTTAAGGATTTACATCTTTCGCGTGAATGCAGATGAAGAGCTGTTGCGTTTAAGGTTGGAGAACTTGTAATCATAAGGCTAAGATAGGGGCCTTAATAGTTAGAATAGGGTTTTGGGGTCCTTTATGGTATGATCATAGCAAGGAACCCCCCAAAATAGTATAGGTAATGATTGAGGTGTAGATAGGGCGGCTTCCGAGTATATGTGAGTGCATGTTGCCAGCATTGGCGAGTGCATGTTTGCGGTGTCCTTCTCTGGGTAGCCGTTGTAAGGAAACTACCCAAAACCCTAAGCCATCCAAAACCCATCTAAACCCTAGATCGGCCCAGAAGGTTCTGAGGTTTGGGGTTCTGGGTTTCAGGGATCGCTTGAGTAGGGATTGCTTGGCTTCTTCGGGCCTCAACCCAAGGGTTGTTGGGGTGAAGGGCATAATTTGGACAACTGGGACCACGACACGGCTGACCTGGGACTTGATCGGCTCTTCGGGCAGCTCTTGCTTTAGTTGCTCTGTTCTCGGTCTGTGGCGATGCGTTGAAGAGTTACGTTGCGAGGGTTATGGCTTGGGTAGGGGGGGGGGGGTGCGACTGTGAATGAGGTTGCACCTTGCGTTCTACCGACCGGGAACGGGAAGTGGATGCGCCTGCTGGCTACTACTAGTACTACTCTACTACTACGACGACGACGACGACGACGCCTACTACTACTACTACTACTACTACTACTACCACTACTTGTACTACTTCTTTCACTACTTGTACTACTTCTTCTACTACTTCTTCCACTGCTGCTTCTACTACTACATCTACATCTACATCTACATCTACATCTACATCTACTTCTACATCTACATCTACATCTACATCTACATCTACGTCTACATCTACGTCTACATCTACATCTACATCTACATCTACATCTACATCTACGTCTACATCTACATCTACATCTACATCTACATCTACATCTACATCTACATCTACATCTACGTCTACGTCTACGTCTACATCTACTACTACTACTACTACTACTACTACTACTAGTACTAGTACTACTATGATGATTATGATTCGTATTCTTCATTCTTATTGCTCTTGTTATAAGTGATACTACTACTCCAATGTTTCAGAGTCTATGCCCCTGAACCCTAAACCCGTAAACCCTAAACCCTGAACCCCCAAACCCTCAAACCCTAAACCCTAAACCCTAAACCCTAAACCCTAAACCCCAAACCCTAAACCCTAAACCCTAAACCACTAGGCTAGGCGTGCGGTCCTCAGAGGAGGGGCTCGCGCGGCCGCGGCGTTCGGCTCCACGCGCCTTGCAAGCCCAAAGCCGTACTTGCAGGGGTTCATGGGTAGATATTGGGGGTTTTGGGGTTTAGGGTTTAGGGTTTAGGGTTTAGGGTTTGGGGTTTTGGGGTTTAGGGTTTAGGGTATAGATATTGGGGGTTTAAGTAGGGGATCTAACTTTTATTATAATCCGCATTAGTAGATATTGGGGGGTTTAACTTGGGGATCTATCTTTCCTTATAATCCATACTAGGGGACTTAGAAAACCCCGCTTAAAACTACCCATGAACCTCCAAGGACAGCCTTAAACGTTCGCCTCGGCCCCAACCCCCAAAGTGCCCTAATACCTCTAAAACCCAGCTGTCCTCTCTAAACCCTAAACCCTAAACCCTAAACCCTAAACCCTAAACCCTAAACCCTAAAGCCCTAAAGCCCTAAACCCTTGAACCTTGCTCATGGCGAGGTGGCAGATGTACCAGCAGACTCGGCACAAGCTGATCACCAGCTGAGGCCCTGCCAGTCCCATGTCCCAGCGCTTGGGCGGGGGCTTTGGGTTGCCAGAAGCACCAAGGAGGGTTTAGGGTTTAGGG